GAAGTAATCGAAGCTGTAAATGGTTATTTTGAGGAGCTTGACGAATCAGTCTATAGAGATGGCATTAATAGACTGGAACACCGCTATGAGAAATGTATCAGCCTTGGAGGAGATTATGTTGAGAAATAAAAAAAAAAAATTTTTAAAAACCTTGTTTTTCTTGGTCAGGCCGGAAACTTATCAATCCACCCTCGTATGTTTCTTATTATAAAGCGTAGTCATATAATGTATGTTCATCGGGTTCCACCTGAAAAAGTTTCCAACTTATTTATTTGCGAAAACTGGTGCAAGAAAATTATTGATCTAAACATAGTGTTTCTTTCAATCGAAGAAATATATCGGGTTTTTGGCGCGTCCGACGCCCCAAACATGAAAAAATCATAACATCAAATAATTTAGCATCTTACAGCTAAATTTTTCAGAATCGTTTATAAATAAATTTAAAATAAACTGTAAATCTTGTCCGGTAAATTTTTTGAGAGGTAGTTGTATTATTTTTTTTGCACCAAATCAATTAGTTTGAGAAGGTCCGCAAAGAAGACGTCCCTACTCCGACATGCAATTTCCGCAAATGAAAAAGGTGTCCGAGTGTCACCTGTCAGATCATCACAAATTTTTTAGTTGTGATCCGGCGGACTAATATCCATTTTTCTATTTGCCTTAATCTGTTTTAAGTTAGTAAAAGACCAAAAAAACATCGGCAAAGCTATTGGATAGTTCTATTTTTTTGTACTTACTACTATGTATCTGAGTTGTACAGTTACCTAGTGGAGTACGTACTGTATAATTACCAACGTTGTACATTACTATTACTAGGCCGTTAGCGTTTTAGAAGATCCTCTCTATTAATGCAGTGAAGATGCAACTTTCATTTCTGCTACATAATTTCAAATGGTTTTAGTGTTCATGCCTACACTTTCTACGCGAACGATAGACCGAGAGAGATGGCCCTTTCAACTTCAGTAATGAATTCCGTGTTCCTTTCTGCGCATAAATAGTTATTATACAAGGTGTTTACAAAAGTTACCCCTTTATTCGTTTAATTCAATATACGTATCGTATATAATAACTGCAGTTATATTCCAAAAATTACATTAGATACATCAAACATTTTTTTCAAGCTAAAGGAATGCCGTAATTTTTACTTAAGTAATTAGTTCTAATGGTAATTAACACTTAATATTTTTGTTTAACAGGGTAAATGCCGTTGTTTATCTAAAAGGTTAGTTACTGAGAATAATTTCAACATTCATTATAGAAATATGTTAAGGTGTGTAATGCTAAAAAAGTATCGAATAGGT